AGTAGATCGGTATCAGAGATGACGCGATCAGCTTCAGTTGCTGTTGCCTCAGCACGAATCATCCATGACAATGTTATGAGAAGTTCTGATGGAGGGATGCCAAAGGCTGACTCGCACTGGGTATACCACATAGGGGCACAATTCGCCCGTACCAAATGCGTCATTACTCCCCAGAGAGTGCAAAAGACACGGATATTGTACCACCAACAACGCATATCAGTACTTGGCTGTACTGGGGCATCTTGTAGAGCCACGGGGTGGTTGAGTCGGAGCTGTTCCTTGCACCACCTAAGACAGAGACTGAGGGGAGATGGACAGTCGTTGCGTAGAGCGTTCATAAAAGGTTGTGTCGTGATGAATTCGTTCAGGAGATGCTCGGTCATAAAGTTCGGGGGGTTGGAATCGTCAAAACAATCATCATATATCTCGAGGGCATAATCGAGAAAGAAGTAGGCTACGAGATCGATAGATGAGTACTTGTGTGATACCTCTCCAAGTGATCCATCGCTGCCAACCAGCTGCTCGACATTACGACTGATTTGTTTGACAAATGCCGACTTGTCCGAATCTTCTTGGTGGCTTCCCACATACGCTTTGAGCATCGATAGGACAAATGGAGAGTCTGAAACTCGAGCCGTTGGTGTCCCGGTCCATTCCCTTGCAAGAATCGCCCTGGCGCTACGAGCATTGTCTGGTTTACCAGCGACACGGGCACAACAAATGGCAAGGAACTCACGAGTCTCAGGAACAGACTGGCTCCTATTCGATAAGACATCGTAGAGATTCGCGTATAAGGCGAATGCGTTTGTGTCATCGAGCATGGCGGCACAAAAGTCAGCAGCCAGTTTGTTCGCTTCCTCAGATGACCCAGTTGCCCAAGGATATGGCACGACAACCTTTGCGGCTCTGTGGCTATCCAGCGACTCGTCATACTCCATGTTTTCAGGCCCGACGGCGTCCATTGGAGTGTCTGGGCCGCAGCGGTCAGGCAAGGGGTATTGGTTGAAGGAGGGAGCTTCTGGGTCGAAGTCGGCCCCAATATCACGATAGTCCATCGAGTCGTTAATGCCACTAGGTGATAGAGAATTATGAGAAGGCTTTTTCTCACTTGCGTTATACTTTTTAATGCCCCATTTCTCGAAACGATAGCCATACTGTCGCTTGCTTTTGGTGAAAGGGTTAGTCAAACATCAAGGATTCTGGGTATCGTACTTGATAGGTGAGATACCTTTGAACAATACCGTACTTCTTCTCCATGACATTCATGACGACACTCAGGGTGTACTTCTTGTAAAGGTTGCAAAGGAAAGGCTTAAACTTTTCCCAAGTCTCGTCGTTCATGCGTGTTGTCGGTTTGGGTAGCCTCTCGTCAGTCCCCCGTGAAAACGATCGTTCTCTAAACTCCATGGTTCTTGTTCTTGTTCTTGCTCTGTCTTTTACGAGTCACGCATAGGTAAGTCAAGAGGCTGTTGAGTGCTGAGTGAAATTGGGAATCGCCCGCAAATGGCGACTGGGCTGTTGGTCGCTTTTAAGGACAGCATTTTGCACTTTTGCTGGCTCTTGGCGGTATGTGACTGTAATTCTAGATTGCCTTGGGGAGCGCCTCATTTATAAAAGACGTAGAATGCCGGTGCCTTGCGTATCATTTTCAGGCTCAAGTGGGTGGGTTGATTGTATGTAATTTGCTCGGATTGTAATTTCAGCAACACGATATGCCTGTCTGATTGGCCATGGTTATGGCTGTGCATGCGTCAAACTGGCGAACCAACTTTGGCGGATGATCTCGGGGGCTTTTCTCAACACGCAAGGCTCATATGACAAGCATAGTCTCCTGCAGCACAGCCTCGACTAGACTAGGCCTCTTTCTCTTTCTATTTCTCTCTTCTCGAAGGAAGATGGAAATTCCAAACCTCACACGTGAGTTGATGTGCTAAGTAAGATGTGCTGTAGCCCAACGGCACCCAACTCGGCACCCAATACCCAACAGCCGTTTTTTGAGGCCTGCCCTGGCATATTAGACCGGATTCGAATACGTGGTTCTTAATTGTGACCTGTAGTTGGTCAATATTGGCGTGATGATATGGCCCCAACCTGGTCATGATGTTGCAAAATGCGCGTGAGCTTTGGGCGAGCGCTCATTTGCATGAACTGCCGACTTTTATCGACATGACAATCCCGAAGCCCGCAGCCCTTTAAGACTTTTGAGTGCCCTCCCAATCTCAAAACCGATCAACATTTCGTCTTCAGCTGTGTCGCCAGCTGTGTTGATACGATGCAAACAACGTCAGTAACATACCATCGCAAACCAATCATGACAGACGATTTTTATAATTCGTGGGTAGAACCTAGCAAATACCCACGAATACCCAACGTCTACGAACCAATCCAAGATACCCGAGTTTCTGGTCAATGTGGTATTCGAGAGAAGAAGGAGTCTGCCTGGGCTCACCAGGATTCTCGGGATAGCCATCAATCGCCTTGGACTACCAACCGCAAACCTCTGAGCAACGAGGAACCACGTGAGTGGCTCATCAACGACCGGACGAATTACTCTGTGGTTGTGCAACTAGGGAGCAGCTACAGGAGCGAGAACCAAATACTAGGAGATGACTTCAAAGACGCATCGAGGGACTGGCACTTACCGTCCCATCACCCAGATTCGATTGAGAAGAGACGCGCAAGGCGGGAAGCGAGCTTTGAGAAGTGGAAAGATGCTGGGGATAGAGTGTTTTGTCACTCGGCGAGATTTGGTCATGATTTCAATCGCTTGAAGGCTTGAGCTACCTCGAAGAAGTCTGGCTGATGAACTGTTGTGACGTCTCGGTGGTTTAGTAGATTCTTTTAATTTTGATGCGAACGCAAATGGCTTGATATACAGTACTGGTCTTGTCTCACATTGACCGAGTTTTGTGGTCGAATTCTGAATCACTTTACCAAGCTGTGAAGCTCATACGTCGCGGGGACATCGTTGCTAGGAATACCACAAAGCTGCCTTTGCAGTGATGGGTATGTCTAGCCTGTCTGGGATGACAGTTTGGCCTGTGCTGGGGTATTTCTTCCTTGGCCATCATGAGTACTGTATCGTATCATCTTGGTCATCGGGAGAATTGCCCAACAATCATAGCGACGTACGGGGGAGCTTTGGTAGCAAATGTATCTGCGCGCCCAAACTTGAGGGTGTAGACATGGGTTGCAAGCTGTAGCTGATGCTCGATTCGATTGGCGATGAAGGTGGTGCACTGAAACACGATTTGATACGTGCCGTGAGACTTGCATTGGAACAATGCAGATGCAGGAGAGTGATGCTACGCCCTCATCCAAACCAATGGACCACTAAAACAAAAGCAAAGCAGAATGAACAGTTCTTATTTGAGTCAGAGGAATCCGACGACTGGTCTCATGGAAGCAAGGGAAATGAGAGTAGTAGTAGAGTAGCTCTTTATGAAAAGATAAGATTCAGAAGAATCTAGGTATTATCTCCATCTATTGACTCACCGAGGACATCGGGTAGTAGCAGGAAATGTGTGGTTTGCTCCGTACCTATCGGTGGGAACAATCTCGATGAGCAAGGGCAAGTGTAACACGAAACAATGCAAGCTAGGTAAGTCTCATTATGACCTGCAGCACCAACTTCAGCGACTGTATATCCATACCTAAGGTACTACAGTATTCCAATATCACGGTGATAATTACAGTGGCCGAGGAGGGGACAACCGTGAAAAGTTCCAGGTTGGTAGCGGGTTAAAACAGAACATTGTCCCGCTATGAGCCGCTCGTTTAGCAGTAGGAGCTTGGTGTCGTCATCTGGGCGGGATCATTTTTGGCCAGCCAATCATTAGCTAGATGCACGTCTGTCATCCTTGCATTTTCCAAATGCAGGTCTGTGCAGAGAACTACATTCGGAGATCTTCCCTTGTCTTCGGGGACAAAGATCCACTCGAACACCTGATGAGGTACCTTGTGTTGTTCTGTAACTTGTATTTGTTCCAAGTCTTCCGCGTTCGAACAAGGTAGCAGCAACCTTTAGTACCTATAGAGTTATAACCTTAATACCTACATCAGAATTACGGCATTCGAATCATGGCAGAAATGTACGTCAGCTCATAGAAATGCCGGGCACAAAGCCTGCCTCGTACAGATAGATACAGATCCTATAGTACTTACGTTGACAGTTGCAGTGTGTACCTCATCTGGCACCACTGTCATTCCCCATTGCTACCACACCCATAGAGTCCACAATCGTGATGGTCGTCAGTCTCAGCGCCTCAAAACCAATGGCAGCCCGACCTCTATTGAATTCCCGGCACTTTTCATAGCTGATCCGTGGATTAGCGCCCTTGAAACGAGGTCATATGGTCTAACAAGGCACCATGAAAGAAGCACCGCCTGTGCAAGATAAGATCCAATATAGCCTGAGAGGCTGTGAAGAGACAAGTCATGCGCCGCTGCTGTTGATCTGATCCTTTGACGTACGTAGCCTCCACTGACTTTGGGTGCGTACCTTGCTATGGTTGTGCAAAGTTCTTGCTCGGGAGGGCTTATTGGTCATTTCTCGCATTTCCTGATACAAGATGGCGTCCTTGCCTACCAAGGTACTAATCTATGAGTAGAAACAAGGCACGTCGATGGAAAGTCCTATTAGCTTAAGTCGTTTGGTGTCATTTGTGGTGTGATGATCCCAGAGTGTGGCTGTTTACCTCCTCACCTCTCTTACCTGCATTCAAGACATACTAACCTACCTACCTAGCTAGGCCTGCTTCCCCGCATACCTACATCAACTAATGTGCCTGAAGAGGAGCGAACCACACCTCCCGTACTGTAGCAGGAGGTCACTGTGCAAATAATTCTAGGTGTTTAAATACTTCCTTCTCCCCTCCACCCTCTCCATTCTCCCCCCTATCACTTCTTCGACACTACACACAACTTTGTTTCGACAGCGAACTTCTTTTCTTTCCATCGACTACAATCTTGAGCCGAGTTTAGCTCTACAGCCCTTCATCATGGCAAACTGGCAACAGTGTAAGCTACCTTGACGTCTTCCGCTTCATATCCATCCCGACTGACCCCTTCAATAGACAATCCCTTTAGTAAGAGGGAATCCCACTCCAGTAGTGCGATCCTCACCTACAAGATTCTTACTCTCGTAACCTGGATCTTGTCCCTCGTCGTCACTGTCTACTACACCCTCAACCGTCCCGATGATGGGCACACGAGAAATAGAAAGATCTGGGAGCAGAACCACATGTATCGCACTGCCTTTACTCTGAACCCAATCATCACATCTATCTACTGGTGCGTATCCTTCAGCCCCTCGCGCGCGCTCGCATACTGATAGCTTGTCAAGGATCGTTCTCTTCATTCTCCAGGCTGGTTACGTTGGTCACCTATTCTCGAGCAACACGGACATTGTTCACGCTGCTGCCAGCGTCGGAAGCCACTTCATTTTCAACAACCTCTTCCACTTCGCTTTTGTCATGCTGTTTGTCCGCTCTCACTTCCACTGGGCTGAGGTCATTCTCGTCCTCAACTTCATCAACCTGTCCTCGCTCTACTTTCGCCATAACACATATCCCCGATTCATTCATACGCCTGTGGTGTCTGGACCTTTGGCTTGGACATTCGTCGCCATTTACTGGAATGGCGCTCTCATGGTTCCCCACCCTGACCACCTTGTTGCTCGCATCTTTGGGAACATCTTCATCTGGTCCATTCTTGTCTATGGACTCTTCTTTATCACCATCTACAAGGTTTGTTCAATCGCTCCAGTTAACTCATATAGCTTGCTGACAGTATGTAGGACTACACCATGGGCTTCTCACTGAGCGTCTTTGCTGCTGCAATTGGAGTTTCTCAGTTCCTTCACCAAGTGATTGCCTTCCAGTGGATCTTTGCCTTTGTCATAATGGCTCTTCTTTTCATCGCCACGGTCGTTGTCGCCGTTCCTGCCGCGACTGGCCGCGAGATCAACTGGCGCAGTGCTCCTGCTGATCAGGAGCGTGCCCCTCTTCTCGCAGAGAATTGAAACTACCTAGGTACCAAGCCATGGAGAGAAACATTACCGGGGGAGCGGCGGTGCCTTTCTCTGCTTGTCCAACATCGTACTATTCCCCCAATATCGCGGCGCTATTTGTGCAACTCACGTCGCCTGCGGTCACTGTCTGTATTTCTTAGCCGGCCTGCTGCATGCATGATTCGATAAGCCGTGTCGAATGTGGAGTAACGAAATAATATGACGTTGAGGATTTATCGAGAATCGTTAAGCCCTGCAACATACGCACGCTTGTTACAGGTTGTATGTTGCCCAAAGTTAGGTAGTAATTGGAGCTTCTTCTGATACAATACGAAACATGGTTGCTAGCCTCTTGACAGCTTTATGCCAATGATCAGCATGATGCTTGAAGCAAATGCTCACTGACGTAGTGGTGGGGTTTAATCGATAAGTTGCCGACGCTAGCGGCTCATTACCAAAACTTCACTTACTTACTTACTTACTTACTTACTTACGTACCTACCTACCTAGGTCGACGACCACCCACCATCAACACCTTGCTATGAAGCCCTTGCGGCCTTTTCCTTTCCCTTTGAACATTGGGACCGACATTTGCCAAATATCCCGTATCTATCATATACTGTCAGGCCCGCGGGCTCTGCGCTTCGTAAACAGAGTTTTAGCCCCTGAAGAGCTAGCAAAGAAAGATGCACGATTAAATGTACTCGACCAGGCGGCCGCGCCCAGGGTTCTACCACGGCGTGCCACAAGCACAGCCAGTGAAAGTCTCCAGCCACATGAATACATCGCGTCAAAGGATCCTGAGCTGTGGAGATGTGCTGCTTTTATAGCAGGAAGGTGCGGGGTTCTCCGGTCTAGCACTGGAAATCACTGACTTGGATGGTGTTTAGATTCGCGGTAAAGGAGGCTGCCATTAAAGCACACCCACACCGTCATTTGACGTTTCACGATATCATGATTGAGCGACGGCTTGTGAAGGACGAGGTATTGGGTAGTGGCCCGCCAATTGCGCGTATACGGGGCGGCGAAGGAGAAGCAGAAGATACTACTGCTATGGTATCTATAAGCCACGATGGAGATTATGCAACAGCTGTGTGCTTGGGATCCGAGCCGTGTAACAAGGATAAAAGACACGAAGGCTCACAGACATAGTATATAGGTACTTTATATGTGTATCAATCAAAAATAATAATACTTGAAACATACTAATAAATATTCCGACTATATTCTTCCTGACTAAAGTCAAAAAGTGACCCAGGTAACGTTATTATAACCTCAAAAAGAAAACTCAAATCGGTATACCAGGGACTCGAACCCTGAGCCTTAGTCTTAGGAGGACTACGCGCTACCATTGCGCCAGCACACCGGAGCAGTTTTTCCGATTCCGGAATGATCGGATATAGTTGGAATGGTGTTATTATGGATTATATCCTTGGGAACTTGGGGTGAGTTCGGTGCAAGACGGCTCGCGGTTTGAAGACGAAAAAGACATGTTTGTAAGTTAGGCCTTGGGTACTCGCCATTTGGGTTTGCAAGTTGTATATTTGTCTTGTGACTACTTTTTACCGTGGTGTCCGGCCGTATCTCTGCTGCTATCCACATGGTTCTATACTCATCTGCAGGCAGCACATATCTCGGGACAGAAGGACAGAACAGGGCAGTGCCTTTAATAATGTTTGTACAGGGATTAAATTGCCTTCGCACTTTCATCATGCTTGTCAAATCCGACTAATCGCTTGTAAATGGTATTTGCTGTGTTAAAAACATAGGTAGCTATGCTGACGCCAACATATCAAAACAGGATCCACCAAGTTCAGGGTCTGAAATACATACTTAGAGGAAGGACTTGGACCAAGTACTAAACTAAGGTACCCTTCACGCTGCACAGCCGTGATTCGATGTATCGAGCAATCGGATTGAGTTTCTGGCCACCATTGTTTTATGAAGGCATTCAGGTTGATCATCTCCTCTTTGTCTGCCACAACCGAGACAGGCTTGAAATTAGTTAGGGCCAACAATTTGTCGACGGACCTGGAGATGACCCGGCCATAACATTCACAAAAGATGCAGTACCACCACAGCACACCACCACAGTTCTGCCTCACCTCTCACCTACAGTACAGTATTCCTCATGGCAATGAGGAAACAGAGGGGGCAAGACAACCGGAACCGGTCAGCAGCATAATGAGGCGGTCAAAGTTAGGCTTTGAAGGCCATTTGGATGCCTGTCCATTCTCCCCAATAACTGTCGTTACTTCATGGGTGCCCCTGCTTTCAGCTAATAAAAGGCGTTGAACCCCCACGGGCCGGGCGGTCCAGGTCCGTTGCGTTTCCCACTGAAAGCGTCGGAGGCTCACCCGCCAAAGCAGCTACCTACCTACCTAACAGTTGTGCCTGCATCTCTGATTCCGCCCCCGATGATGCCGATATTCGGGCGTCCACGCCATCATGGGGCGCTCCACTTGCACAAAGCCCACTCCCCACAGCCATTCATGGTTGTTCATGACTTCCTACTCGGATTGATAACGTGCTTGCTACCTACCTACCTACTAAGGTAGCCAAATCCTTACTCTTTCACTAACATCGTCTTTTGTTTGTATGTTCGTGATAATGAGCTGGGGATCAGTGTTTACCTAAGCATAAATATTTGTTTCCTGCTTCTGCTCTGCTACTCTCTGCTCTGTCTTGTTCCTTTCTTCATGGGATTCTTCATGTCTGCATCACCATGATGGATGTCGTAATTCACCGCTTCGGCGGACTAGAGTTCTCTCCCTATCAAGGGAATGAATCTATCATGATGCCTCATTCTTGTTCTTTGACTAGGTAAGAACGGTCTCGATATGATACATCCAGTTTACTAAGAATTCTAGCTCATGTCAGAATGCCATGTCCATGTCCCAGTCCCAGTCCCAGATTTCATGGATTCATCATGTCTCACAGTTGGCTCAATCTGGTGTACCACAAGCCGTTGTGCTTTTCCTGTCACTCATGCAACTCATCTACCACCTAGACCGAATTCGTCGGCAAGGATCTAGTTGCGGATCTAAAGCTGCCAAAATTCGCTGGCCCTATGAGCTTGCCTCACAAATCGCAAGACTTACTGCTGTTGTATATATTACAATTGCTTATGTCCAAGATGGGCTACATTGCATAAACATCGTATCTGTTGTATATACCTTCACTCTTGGTATCACTCGTCTCCTCAACCATCTTGAGTGGCGCCACGTAGCACTGCATCAAATCAACTTTGTCCTTCTGGCTACTCTGACCATTCTCATTTCAGGGCACACTTTGCCATGTATCCAGACTGGCACAAGATGCCTTCACGACGCCAGTACTTCCAGTGGCATCATCGCTCTTGCAGCGGGAGCTGCCATTGCAGCCATTACCCCCAGAGAATGGACACCAATGCAAGTTGACCTCAGTATCCCCGGTTACGACCAGAATGAGCCAGCTCCCGAGGAGGCCTGCAGTTGGTTCACTTACTATTGTACCTATGACTGGCTGACCCCAATCATCTGGAAGGGTATGAAGCGGAAACTTGATATGGCTGATATTCCAAAGTTGGCCTGGTATGACGAGCCTATATACCTCTTACGACGTGTACAAGAAGCTCGTTCAATCTCGAAAAAGACACTTCGTACTGTTCTTAGATTCCAGAAACGCGAGTTGCTTCTCATGTCGTTTTGGGTTGCCACCTCATACACGGTCGAGAATATAGCCGCATTCGCCATGTTTAAGTTACTCGAATACCTTGCTGATCCTAACGGTGCCATATATAAACCGTGGCTTTGGCTGTTCCTCATGTTCATCGGCCCACTATCCCGCTCCGTTGCCTTCCAGCAGTACATCTTTACATCTACTAGACTCGTGGTTCGTATCAAATCTGCATTCACTCAAGAGCTGTACTACACTGCCCTGGACTCGATGGAGATGGAAGAGGATCCTTTTGAACTACAGTCTGGTGGCGCGAAACTCAAGAGCACGAGCGGCCAGGCCGCTGCAAAGACCACATCAGCAGGACGTTTGGCTAACCTCATGGCTTCCGATATAGACGCAATCTATAGATCAAGAGATATCATCCAGGCCACCATTGGTACCCCCGTCGGGACCATAATTTCGCTCGTTGGAATGTACAGAATGATGGGCTGGGCATCTCTGGTAGGAAATGCGATTCTTTTTTTGGCCACACCTCTTTCGATATGGCTTGGGCGCTTAATGTTCTATTCGCAGCGCCGAGTCAGGAAAGCTCAGGATTCTCGCATGTCCTTAGTGACAGAATATCTTGCGTCCCTTCGCGCCATCAAGTACTTCGCCTGGGAGGACCCTATCACTGAAAAGATCATTAATGCACGTTCCGAAGAACAAAGGGAGCTTTGGAGGACTTCAATGATCCAAGCTTCATTGAACCAAGTTATGCAGATTGTTCCTTACTTATCCTTGCTTGTTATGTTTGGCTTGCACGTGGGGCTCTCCAAGCGTCGACTTGATGCCGCAACGGCTTTCACGACCATATTTCTTGTCAAGAATGTTCGCAGAAATATCATGCAGGCTAGTGCCTTTGGCAGGAATTTCGCGAGCGCGTTGGTGTCAGTGACCCGACTCGACAAGTACTTTGAGAGTACAGTTCCTATTCCTCATTACCCCGTTGGCCCCCTTCGCATTGATCATGCCACGTTCCGTAAGACGAAGACAGCCAGTTTCACCCTAAGCAACATAACGCTTGAGTTTGCCCAAGGCGGCCTCAATGTCGTTAGCGGCCCGAGTGGCAGCGGCAAAACAACTCTGCTGCTGTCTATTCTTGGTGAGACCTACCTAGAGAGTGGAAATGTGACCAGACCAGACGATACGGCGTACGCTTCTCAATCTTCATGGTTGCAGAACGAGACCATACAGGCCAATATTATATTTGGCAGTCCAATGGAAAAGCCGCGCTACGATCGCATCATCGAAGCATGTTGCCTATGGGAGGATTTTAAGGATCTACCGGCTAAGGATATGACCATCGTGGGAGAGAACGGGACTTCTCTTTCAGGTGGCCAAAAAGCACGAGTTGCTCTTGCAAGGGCATTGTACTGCAAAGCACCACTTCTGTTGCTCGATGATATCTTTGCTGCTTTGGACGCTAAAACAGCTGCTGGTGTTTGGAAACACTGCTTTTGCTCTGACCTTCTGAGTGGGAGGACAACTGTGCTTGTGACAAATCTTCCCTGGATCGCAGAACAGGCCGATCTCTCTGTTGTGTTGGAGAAGGGTCAAATAGAGTCGGCTGAGCCCCAACTTGGTATTGTTCGCAAACCAATCGCTATCGCTCAGGCCCTTAGGGGAGATGCTGGAGAGGATGACGCACTTCATGATACAGTTCAGGAAATACAACCAAATGGTGATACCTTGAACGACGCCAACCGAGTCCCTGAAGAAAAACGCCTGAAGGATGTGGTCAATCAGGAAATGAAAGCTTCTGGAAAGGTCGGCCGCATGACTTGTCAGTACTACTCCCTTCCCAGTCGTGAAGGGATGCTAACTTGGTCCCCAGTCTTGCAATACATGAGCTACTTTGGACATCCGGTCTTTGTTGCTGTCTGCCTGGGGCTTTTACTTGCCACGAACATCTTTACCTTTAGCAGTCTTTTGTGGCTCTCTGTCTGGGTAGAAGCATACAATCACCAGGCTCACATTGACATTCCTTATTATATGGGGATCTTTGCAGGCCTTACGTTCCTTGAAATCGGTAGCTACTGCTTGGCTATCATAATGTTCGAATGGGGAGCTTGGAACGCTGCAAAGAGATTACACAACGATTTCATACATGCCATCATGCATGTCTCCCTTTCATGGTTCAAGCATGTCCCCATTGGCCGCATCACAAACCGCTTCTCCAGTGATATGGCGTCACTCGACGGTACCATCAGTACCATGCTACGGATCATGCTTGATACGGTCCTTCTCATGCTCTTTCGCATTGGAGCTGTCAGCAGCATAATGCCGGTTTTTATGATACCAGCACTGTTCACGTGCTTGTTTGGTGTTCTCATAGGAGAAGCATACACTAGAACCGCCGTTGTAATCAAGCGGCTAACGTCTTCTGCTCAGTCGCCTGTGTTCTCTCAGTTTGCAGACACGTTGGCTGGTCTTCCTGTTATTCGTGCCAGGAGTGGCATGTCGTCAAGATTTCGAGAAGAGTTGGCTGCCAGACTACGTGCATGGTCAGCTTCGGCCGAAGCCAGCTTCAACGCTAACCGTTGGGTTGCTGTACGCGTGGATCTTGTGACGGCCCTCGTGGGTCTGTCAGCAGGTATAATTGCTGTATCACAGACAGGTGTCGTGGCTGCAGGGCTGGTCGGATTCTCCCTCACCAATGCCAATGGACTCAGCCAGACCATCCTGTTACTTGTTCGAGCGATGAATGATTTGGAAGTTGAAATGCAGAGCGTGAGTGTGTTTGTTATCATCTGCCAAAGTGCCTGCTGACCAAGTATCAAGTTTCACCGAGTCAGGGAGTATGTCAAGTTGGAGCCCGAGGAAAAGGACGACAAGACATATCCCGAGGAAGGTGAATACACAGATGATCCCTGCCACGTAATACCCCAGAACTGGCCTCGATCTGGCGAGATCGAGTTTCGAAACGTTACAATCCGGTACGATCCTGATGGATCCGACATTCTCACCGGTATAAACCTCAAGTTCAAAGCGGGTGAGCGTGTGGCTATCATAGGAAGGACAGGTTCGGGGAAAAGCACTGTCTGTATTCCACACTCTCTTACAGCAACTTTCAGGTGATACTAACGACTGCGATTTCTAGTTGGTGCTTTCCCTCCTTCGCTTCACCCATGTTGTCTCTGGCGAAATCTTATACGATGGAGTTGACATTACCAAAATTCCTCGGCACCGCCTCCGAGAAAGCCTTACGATCATACCACAAGAGGCTGTCCTGTTCAACGGGACAGTGGAGTCCAACCTTGATCCTAGCGGTCGAGTTCCCAAAGACATTCTCGACAAGGCTCTGGACAACTGCAAAGGCATCGCATCCTTCTCTCCTCATACTTCTGATGACAGCGATAATGATACACAGTTTCACGATGATGAGAGCAATAGTGTAAATCTTTCGACAAGTGTCGACGCTCGCGGTGAGAACTTCTCTCATGGTCAGCGGCAAGTTCTTTCACTCTGCCGTGCGCTGGTTCGCCAGAGCAAGCTGATGCTGCTTGACGAAGCCACGGCAAGCATGGATTATGAGACAGACCGAGGTATTCAAACCGTCCTACGACGAGAACTTGAAGCAGTCGGTGGAGGGCGGACTTTGGTAACAATCGCGCACCGTTTACGTACAATCATTGATTATGATACCGTCGTGGTCATGAGTGGGGGGCGTGTTCTTGAGTAAGATCTCGTTGACTCTTTCTTTTCAGACTGGCAACTGACAATCCTCTCCAGGTATGGCTCGCCTCGCAATTTGTATAACAGTAGAGGCCAGTTCTACGACATGCTCTACCATAGCGGCGAAATGGAGGACCTGCAGGCTTCTCTAGAGACGGAGAGTTCCCAAGGGGTTATTTGACGGAGGAGCATTTTGTTTGGGATAGTTGTGTCTGGATACTCGAGATGGACACGTTAGAGCATGAACGAGTTCAAAAGGGGAAATAGCTCACATCCGTCTGGGACATCTGTACGCCGTCCTTATGACTTATCGATGGACAGGTGTGTCGACAAGATTAGGGCAGACTTCTCTAATAAAGGTTCCATTCACAAGCTCTATAATTTCCCCATTTAGCTGGGAGCCAGCTAACCGAGCAGAATAATCATTTGTAACCTAAAAGCCCTATGCGTCGTGTATTTTCATGCCCCGTTGCATCTTTGCTTCAACAGATACCAAATAGAAAGGCAGGCGTGATCGGAAAAGCGAGAGCTAGACAGTAATAAACAGGTGAAAATCAAACGAAGTTCCCCATTGTCAAAGACGATCGAACATCCTCCTCGTGAAGGACTTTGTTGCTTAATTCCAAAATCAAAACCAAAGCCAAGTCTTTCCCTGTCTCCCCAACGCCATACGTGCGTTCGTATATTTTGCATGTACATGCCAGTTTCTTGCGATGGATATATCATCGGTTCGTCTCCTTTCACGTCTTGCCGCGTCTTCCTGCATCTTCTTTTCATACGAGCACGGGGTAGGTGTGATTGTGGTAAGATATATGGATCATGGGCGTATGCGTTGAATTTCGTGGTATCATCGACATTGTGACGTGGTCTGCTTCTTCCTCATGTTCGTTATGCACTGGAGCATCCTCCTCCGTTATTAACCACATCCCCCATTTATTGTCCGTTGAATTGCTCCTCCATGTTAGTAACTCCAGCTTCCACGTTATGATAATCGAGGATTTCTGAGTACCTGTTCTGTATTAGTATATTCGAGGCATAGAGTTTTGCAACACACTAACATCATGATTTTCCATGTATCAACGGGCAGATCAGCGTCGTTGAAGCTCCAGTCGAACTTCTCCTCCGCCACAGGCTCATCTGTGGGGTCGTGATAGGGAGAGAGATAGTCATGGGAGAGGGCCTCTGTGGCAGTTATTCGCTTCTTAGGGTCGAAGACAAGCATGCGCTCAAGCAGATCAATAGCTAGTAATTTGTCAATCAGTGGATCTCTCAGGGTCAAATGGAGGAGTTATTTCATACCCGAATCGTCGGCATTTTTGAACTTGTTACGAAGAGGCTGTCTCTCGCGTTTGGGCAGCGACTTCACGAACCGCAGTGTCTAGTAGTCGTTAGAATTGTAGACAGATTGCAAGGCATTGCAACTCACGTTCTCGCTGGCGATAGTGTTGATAACATCATCTGGGGGGGTACCAAGTAGCTCAGTGATGATAGAGAATTGGTTGACGTGATCTTTTCCGGGGAACAAAGGTTTGCCTTCAAGCATCTCAGCAAAGATGCAACCGGCACTCCAAATATCAACCTCAACGTCATATTTTTGCCAGGTGAGCATGATTTCGGGGGCTCGGTAGTATCGTGTGGAGACATAACCAGTCATCTGAGGGTCCTGGATTCGTGCAAGACCAAAGTCGCAAATCTTGAGATCACAGTTTTCGTTGACGAGGATATTGCTGGGTTTGAGATCGCGGTGGACAACGCCGGCCGAATGCACGTACTTCAGACCTCGCTACAAGGCAACTCATGTCAGTAAATGATCGGTAGCAGCCATTTTTGTCTAGACGCTATTGATACATACCATAATCTGGTAGAGGAAGTACTGGATGAACTGCTTCTCAAGAGGGCGCGATGTCAATAATCGGTGAAGATCGGTACCGAGGAGCTCTGTGACAAAATAGCTACAGAGCTGTCAGCGCAAGAACGTGGGGGACGAGGCGGGGGAGGGGTAAGGCAGGCCGTGGCTGGGAACGCACATATCTTCCAGAGGAGAAATAAAGATGTCGCTGAGAGAAATGACCTGACAGCGAAATTGTATTAGCATCGAAAGTCTTACAGTTTCTCATGGGACCATTAAGGACGAGTCCAGCAAAAAGATATGCATTAAATCCGAAGATACGCGGAGGTATTGAGCTGTGCAGGGGCCGTTGCTCACATTTTCGTGCTTAAGGTGCTTGAGCAGCTTGAGCTCACGGTATGTGCGCTTTGCGAGCACGGGTGTGCTGAAAGGCTTCATGATCTTCTTGACTGCGACATTTTGGTTGGTAAGTTGATCCCGGGCAGAGCTGTTGCAAAGGGAACCGTGTCAGTCGGATGCGCAGGATCAGTAGGGACATCTAAGGGGACATACCAAACGAGGCCAAAAGCTCCCATGCCAACAGGCTGGAGATCGGAGTATCTACGCGCAAATCGAGTCAGTAATGCGATGGTTGTCAGCTTTAAATGTATGGTGAGCTTACCTGGAGGTGATCTCGAATGTGGTGCCAAAGATCTGGGCGCGTACAAACTCGGCCATGGTGAATATGTGGATTTTTAGGAAGATATGTTTGATGGTGAAGAGAAAAAGTAGTCAGTTTCCTGGCTGTAAAACGAGGAACACCAAGATGAGGTAAAGATGATGGTGGGCGGGGCGCAGACGTAATCGTCTAAGATCGTAGTCAAAGCTGTTTGTTGGGCCTGGCGTGCGGTGCGGTGCGGTGCGGTGCGAGATAAAGTGAAGAACAGAGAGGTAATCTCGTTATTGTATTGGATGGGCGGCTGGATATGGAAATGGGATGGGACCGATGATGGGTCAGGTGAATGGTGAATCGACGATCGAGCAAAAGACGATGACTGTGACCGGGGTACCAGTAAAAAAAAGCGATGCAGGTTTCGATGTCGATGAGTAGAGCGTCTCAAGCGGGGGCGGGAAGAGACGTGCGAGATCCCACTGGGTAGAACAGCAACAAGCGTGTTTGATTGATTGATTGCAATATCACTCAATGGGCTTTGTAAGGCAGTGGTTGACTGATCGTCGTTGTTTTGTCTTGGACCGTCTTTTCCTTTGATGGTATTCAATGCCCAGTAACAGGTACGGAATGGCGGGGTAGGTAAATAAATGCGTAGGCAAGAGCAACGTGTCTGTCTATCAATAATTACAAGGTCAGCAACAGTCCAGAAAATGGAACGAGGGTTATTAGCCAGTTAATGAGCGTAGATGGAATGCCACCTGAAAGAGTCGGTATTCGGCAGATTCACAATGACACAGAAAGAGGCACTACAAGACTACTGAGAGTAGGCAAGTTGGAGACGCTCCGTATGTTGGGCTGTCCCGTGTACCTTACTCAGGCCTGTGAGTAGGTACCTCAGTGAGGGGCAAGCTGCACCAGCCCAGGCGCTGAAGACCGGCAATGACACTGAGATTGTTCGGGGGGGGGGGGGGTAGATCAGACACCAACAGCAGCCTCCGAGGACAGCACAGGCGTTTGACACCGCCTGTAGGCAGTCTCCAGGTCTTCTCCCCCCAGTCCGTTCCAAGACTGAAGCAGTGGGGTCCAAATACTTTGAGCTCCATAGCGAGGTGCCTTTGACGCCATCGTGCCGCAATGATCGGACAGTTTGCCCTGAGTACTTCAGAGGCCGAACGAAACAGGGCCATTGCCTGGTTCCAACAAGGAAGCAGGATCCAAACGCTGGGAGGAAATCTGGGGTATTGGCTATTTGCTCGACAAGAGGCTTACCTATTCTTTGCAGGTCCAGGCGTCGTCGATTAGGAGGCTCGTTGCGAATGCGGGTGTCTTCCTACTGGACCGGTCAAATGTCGATCACTGCAGAGGATACTATAAGACGTTTCGCAGGCTGCGTGAAGGTGGCTGCAGTTCTAGGTAAAATGAGAAGATTTGAGAGGGAGAAAGAAGGTTGAAGGGAGGAGGAGAAAGCGAAATTTCAACAAGAAGAGGTTAGCATCTGGGATAGAGGGTGCATGTACATATATACATGGTCGTAGAAGGCATTGGGTCGACCGAGGTGAGTGTGAGGTGTTGGTATTGGATTATGTGGACGGAGGACCGCCGGTTGGTTTTCTTGGTGGGGGTGGGTGAGGGGGGCTAGGGGGACAAGTGCTCCGGGGAGTAGTACCCTGGAAAGTAGGCACTTAACAAACTAAGGGAGCCGAGAGGCTTGATTAAGATGCCTATACCTTCCTTCCATAGGCAGAGCAAAGAGCTATTCCTTGTCACCGTCTATTTTGTTTGCATTTGTGTGCTCCGATTTAGTGATTCCCCTTATTCAGACCCTTGCGACACGTAATGGGATCGAGATCTCTCTCTTGTCGCAGTGGATATCAAGGTTATGCGCTTACACGGTCACATACCTACCTGCCTACATGGAGTTTTTTCATGGAAAAGTTGGAAATTTGATGTATGACATGATGACACTTTGAGCCCTTTCGAATCGATTCCTAATCCATGCTAATCAGGGTCCTTGTGAATTTTGTAATTATGCATGACTCTTGTCTGTGGATGTTTTATCTGTCTGGGTGCAGGCCAGCAAGAGAGTGTTGATTATGATTATACTCCGTATGTAGCCATGAGTTGTTGAGATTTTATGAGGTTTGGCGGTATACGATGCACGTTGTGATATAGATCGAATATTTTCTTGGTTTTTAAACATTGGGTGCTACGATAGATACTGCTGAGCCCGTCTATTGGCATCCAACCCATTATCAAACTGACCCTGCCAAGTCTGCCCTGTATCTGCACCTGCAGCAACATCCCATCATGGCATCACCAAACTCAGCCATGTGTAAGGTAAGGTATCCGTAGCCAGATACTTAAGTATTGCGTACCTACCTTATCATGTAAACGTTACCACTTCAACTCATCATCATTAATCAAACTCTTCCCCTCATTCTCTCTTTCCCCTTGTCTCCTGCATATCGTTTCCTGCATCAGAAACTTTTTAAAAACCCCATTCACATGGCTGCCATGTTTTCTCAAAATGACGTCAATTCAGCCTCCAACTGGCTTACCCCTGTTTTCTGACAGCGCACGTCTGATGGCCGATGCAGATGCATCAGGATGGGGCCTGGCCTGGCGCTTGGACGCCTTTGTCTTTCTTCTTCAAACGGCGCCAGGCCCATCCCCAGTCTCCGATCGTTCCCATGGGTCGGTACCTCTACACCACTTTTACACAGTAATGGTACCTGTCGGCTCGATCTGTCATGCTCAATGACCTAGTCCGCTCATCGTGGAATCGTCTCAACGATCGAATATACTCCCGGAAGACCTAGCCTCTTCGGTGGAGCCACTTCCAGAACAAGCCCAAGCCTAAGTTCACCTCACCTCCACTACATACTAACTATTCAGCACCTGTCAATTCGGAATTTTCATCACGCGCTGCAACGCTGTAATTAATCGTTCAGGTTTTCAGAAACCTGTCTCTCGATTCTCTACGTCATATATCAAAAGCCTCGAGCATTCAGCTGCATCTTTGTCGTACCAGAATCCAAAGTCCCACACCTGGGCAAGGGTTACCATCAACAACACCTCGCACTGGGAGTTGTCTATGTCAACGATTCATGTTACAGCCTTGATATGCTTGGTCGGGAATAGTGCTGTTCTCCCTTCTCAATTACTCATTTCGTTGGTGCGGTAAGGTCTCAGTATGATATGCCTCAGTGTCATCTTGATCTTCCTTGAATTCCTCGCGTCCAATAACCAACCAACTGAACGCTATTCTCACTCACTGGGTATTCCAATTCACGATATCGCAAACCACGGCCCTTGCCATTCTCTAAACCTCAGATCTTCCCTCATCGCGCCTTGACCCTGGCTTCACAACACAAGCGTGCCCTGTCGATCCTCTCCTAATCCCATTGCCATCCACACTTTCATCTTCCTTCCGATCCCATCTGAGATCTAAATTCTATCCTCCCCTAACCCAGCAGAACCAACCCTCTTGACATCCCAGATCGACCATGCCACTTCGGTCCAGATCTTTTGATCGGCAACCAGGCCCTAGTTAAACTCTCTGCAGCGCATCTTTTCCGCCCCGTGATGCGGATCTTAACACGTAGAAACAACCGAACAAGGGAACACCCGCCCCGACTATTCCAAAGATTCGGTACCAAGTCTTTACAGTCCAGCTAAGTGCAGCGATTCGGACGCTTGGTACCGATCACCCGCCTAGACTCGGGTTCCGCTAATTCGTCTAGCCGAGTCTCTATACTAGTTGGCATCATCGTTTCCCACGGTTAGGGTTCAGGGTACCACCGTTTTGACTGAACCTACGTTTGACATATATGTACATGTGTTGTATCTTCCTAGACGGCTATACAGTAGATGTAGTGCTATTCCGTTTGGTCAGGGGATGAGCATGATTTCCTTTGACTAGTGCTCCTGTTAGATATACAACCGGGCAAGTTTGAGAGATCATCTGAGATATCTTGCCTACCTAGGGACTATGTAAGTCATCCACTAGAACTTCAGCTTCCAAGCCCCTTCTTCTATCTCGTCGCACTCGACGGTACTACCCACAAATTCCTCGTATCGATTCCTAGGTCTCTCCAGAACCCCACAGGGACACATGGGTCAAGACGCCTTGCATATTTATGTGCGGCGAATCATTGCCTGGGAATACGGAGTACAGTGTCGACCTTCAGTCTCATGCCGGCCTCCTCATCGATCTGCGTTACCGATATAGACTTCCTTAATTGGGTCCAACAGCGTATTGGGAAAACCAACACACATGATAGCAAGCCTGTAGAGGATGCAATCACATACAAGTCAAGAATTAGAGGAGTAATATATGCCATGCACGTTTCATTATCAAGGGGAGTGCCTATCCATTGTCCACTCTGGTCATGGTCTCGCAGGTTGAATTCAATCTTCACCGCCAATCATATGTCACCAGTCTGCCCAATTCCTTCTCTTATCTCTCGTTCCGTTGTGAGTGTCTTACCTCACGTCTCTCTGTGAATCTATCCACATAGCCGTGTCTGCTTCTGTCATAAACTAGTTCTGCACGATCTAATCATGGACGACAAGAGGCTCTGCGTTCCAGATACTCTCGGCATACTCGTCAATACAGCGGTCGCTGCTGAAAAATCCCATGCGAGAAACAGAGGTAATTGACTTCTTGATCCATTCCTCCTGGTTCTGATACGCCTCATCCACCAGCTTGTGAGTCTCGTTGTAGCTGTGGAAGTCGTCAGACACCAAGTAGTAGTCACCGTGATCACGGACAGCAGCGACCAGGGCGCTAAAGTCATGGACCGAGCCAAAGGTGCCCTTCTCGATCTCGGCAAACACTTTCTGCAAGTCGGGGTCAATTTCATGAGAGCCGTACTGGTGACTGTGTCGGAGATCTTCAACATCTTCAGCGAGGTTGCCAAACAAGAAGATGTTGTTCTCGCCAATCTCGCGAGTAATTTCGATCTATTCATGATCAGCCGTGGAATCAAATGCATTTTCCATTTACTTACATTGGCACCATCACAAGTGCCGATGATGAGACCACCATTCAGAACAAATTTCA